CTACACAGAATAATGATCCATTAAAAAAACACACCCTTATTATAAATAGAAGAATCAACCTCCCAGTCACCCAAGATGGCAATTCATCCTTCATTCAGCTACTAAGGTGATTTTTTCCAAGGCAGAGGTTTGACTATGTCACCCTCCTGCTTCCAATGAGCTGCAGAGGATTTAGGATCAAACATAAATTCTTCTGTATGGCATTTAAAGCTCTTCACAACCTTGTCCTTTCCTTCCTTTCCGGTCTTATACTGTGTTCTCCTGCATGGACTCTATGATCCAACCATACTGCCCTACTTGCTGTTCCTCACCCATGGCACAACCTCTTTGTACCTTTGCACTGGCTGTCCCCCATTCCTGGGATACTCTGTACCTTTGCCTCCACCTCATAGTTTTCTGGGCTTCTTCCATAGTCAGCTAAATTTCACCTTCAAGAACCCTTTCCTATTCTGCCCAAGTTTTCAGTGTCTTCCTCTCTCAGATTACCTTTTAGTTACTTTGTATATAGGTTATGTGTACCTAGTTATTTACAGGTCTCCCCAGTTAGAATGTACACTGCGTAAGAAGAGGGACTGTTTTTTGCTTTTTTTTTAATCCCCAGTCCTTAGTACAGTGTCTCACACATAGTAAGCACTTAATAAATGATGGTGACTAACCTATAATTTCAGAAAAAAAATAGCTTCAATTAGTTTTAAAAGCACCAAAGTTTTTTTAAATGTGTTATAAAGCACTTTAACTTTACAATCAGGACACTTAGAATTTTAAAAGCATTATAAATTCCAAAATTTATTACTTTTGCCTAAAAAGGGTTGAGGTTTTTTTTTTTTCAACCCCTAAACCAAGCTTTTGTCTATACTATGTCTACCACCTTACAAATAGGCTGACTAGTTTCTGGATGAGGTTGACTATATTATTGAAAAATATGTATTTTTGTGTATATTCTAAATGCATATGCAACCTTAATATTAAATGTCATAGTATTAAAAAAAAATTAGAAGAGAAGCAGATGACATACCTCTCACATTTTGGGTAGGCGGCTAGGTGGCACAGTGGATAGAGTGCCAGGTTTGGAGTTAGGAAGCCCTGAATTCAAACCCAGTGTCAGACATTTACTAGCTATGTGACATTGAGCAAGTCACTTAACCTCTGTTTGCCTGTAAAATGAAGATATTAATAGCACCTACCTCACAAGATTATTGTGAGGATCAAATGAGATAATATTTGTAAAGCACCTAACATATAGTAGGCTCTAAATAAATGTTACTTAAACAATTACTATTAGGAAATGTATTCTTAACCCAACAAAAGAAAATGGCAATTACAAAAGATAAAACAGATAATTTTGATTGCATGAAACTGAAAAGGTTCTATTAAAACAAAATTAATGCACTTAGGATAAGAAAGAAAGTGGCTGTGGGGGAGGATTGCATCAAATTTCTCTGATAAGGCTTAGGCATCCAAGATTATATATATATATATATTATATATATATGTACACACACACACATGACTAATAGCAATTCCCAATAGATAAATGGTCAAAGTACAGGAACAAATAGTTCTTAAAACAAGAATTGCAAAGTATTTACAACCACATGAAATAATACTCCAAATCACTAATAATGAGAGAAATGAAAATCAAAACAACCCTGAGGTTTCACTTCATACCATGCAAATTGGCGCACACACACACACACACACACACACACACACACACACACACACAAAATAATAAAAAATGACAATAGTCAGTGTTGGAGAAGTTGTGGAATGATAATAATTCTAATACATCGTCGGTGGTGCTGTAAATTGGTACAATCATTTTGGAATTATGTAAATAAGGTGATTTTACTACTAGGCTCATACCTGAAGGAAATCATTGATAATAATAAAATCCCCAGATACACCAAAATAGTTATAGCAGTACTTTTTGTGAGAGCAAGGAATTGGAAATAAAGTAGATGCCCAGTAATTGAGGAATGGCTAAACAAGTTGTGCTAAGTGAATGTAATAGAATATTACTCTGCTGTAAGAAATGTATGTGATGTATACAGAAAAACATGGAAAGATCTATATGAACAGATCCAGAAGTAAGCAGAACCAAGAAAACAATACACCCAGTAACAATAACAATATAAATGGAAAGAACTACACACCAAAAAAAAAAAAAATCAATAGTGAATGTAACAAAATCAAAGATCAAGAAGGACTGAAAAGAAGAGATATGAGGGGATACCCCCAGTCCATCCCTTCATGGAGGTAGGAATTACAAAAGTGTTATGTATTGTATATGTTTTTGGACTTTTCTCAGTTGTACTGATTCTTCTCTTCTGTTAAAAATTACTATTTGTGGGGCAGCTAGGTGGTGCAGTGGATAGAGCACTGGCCCTGCAATCAGGAGGACCTCAGTTCAAATCTGACCTCCCATACATAACACTTACTAGCTGAGTGACTTGGGGCAAGTCACTTAACTCCAATTTCATCACCAAAATAAATAAACAAAAAATTAAAAATTTTTTTTTAAAAAAAAAATACCATTTGTCCTATGAGATGGCTCTCTGAGAGGAAGAGCAAGAGAGATACTTGGAATAACTATAATGATGTAAGAAACAGAAGACATCATCTTATTTTTTTTTTAAAATGTGAGGTTAGGCAGACCATTCTCCTAACAAACTGAAGATCTGTGCAAGATGGTGGATTTTTAAAATTAACAACAAGGAATCAAAGTTACTAAAAGAAACACAAAAGCAACTTTTAATAGATATACTCTAAATTCTTCTCCCTTGATGTAGTATCAATTTCAAGATAATACAATTTATTTTTAAAATAATATCTGAATTAGTCAAGTCAATAAATAGGTCACAAATTGTGACCTACTTGATCTCTTCTCTCATATACAAGTATAATATAGTAATACCTCATTTATCCAATGTCAGGAAATGAACTGTTCCACACAAGTTAATTTTCCAAGATAAATGAAACATCCCATTTGAGGGCCAAATCTTTGTCAGAGTTATAACATACTTCCTTGCCTCCTTAAATTGAGTCTATTGAAGAATGGTGGCTTGAATGCTTTTTAGTTAATGGAGTCCTTAAAAGAGATCATCCCCAACAAGCCACTTGATAGTAAGACCTAAAGCATAGAAGAAGGAGAGGGGAGGAGGACCCTTATCCCTGCTCTGGCACTATAGTCGTGGGGATGCACTCTACTCTCCCCAAGGTAAGATACTAAACATAATTGAACCTTTTCTTGGTGACTCAGTATCATCATTACTTTAATGATGGGTCGATGTGGTAATACAGTAATGCCCTTGGGGGTTGTTGAGGTGTGCAAGGCTATTTGCTCCTAATGGCTCCAGACGGCTAAGCTTGAGTTTTGTTTACTTTTTACAGTTTTTCTCCCTTTCTCCTCACTATCAAGCTATCAAGTCCCTCTTTGTGGCTGTGTGGATGCCTTAGTGACACAAGTTACTTCCATTGTTAAATGCAGAATCATGCATGAAATAAGAGTGAAGGGAGAACTAAGTGAGCATGTAATGCATTATTTTGATTGAAAAGTTTACCAGCTTTGTGACATCTTTTTGGCTGCTCAGAAAATTTTGCTTGCTTCTTGGGTTCTATATACTTTAAGTTGCTAGGAAATTGACTTCCACATAATTAAGGCGCTTCTGCAATTTGCTTTTCCATCTGCTTCTAAAATTTAGACCTTTTTAGAAAAAATGATTCACTGAAGTCTGAACTTAATAACATTGTACCAAAAAAAACAAGTGAAAGTTTCAGATACAAAATACAAGAAAAAAAGGTAGGGAGTGAAAACCTTTCTATACCTTTCAAGACGTATTAAAAAGATACTATTGGATACAAGGTTATAAGCATACAAAGAGTAACTGTACTCTAAATTCAATTCTCTAGTGTAGAGTAACAAAAAAGTAAAATATATCTTAAGAAGAACAAATCACTAAATGCAGAGTTACTTGGTTAAGTTTCATTGTTGAACAATACAGTAACAAGGATTTTAAAACGTGTTTTTAAAAAGTTGTTAATAAAAGATAGGAAAAGACAAAGTAACTTCTAAATGTAATATGACAGAACAGGAAAGAAAGAACTTAAATTATTTTTTCAAAAATCTCACACACACATACATTCATTAAAAGATTCCAATTTCAGATGCCTTAATGCCCTTTTAGTACACAATGTTGCTTTTAAAAGTTTCAGATACAGATCACAAAGAGCTATACAGAGGCTGAAAATTCTGATTATCAAACCAAAATTCCAACATCAAAAATCTTAGCCTTCCAATACATACAATAACTAATAAATTAAACAGTACCATTCTCACATAGCCTTATTAAAAGGAAGGTGGGGGCAATTCTGTATGATGGCAAGCAGGTTACTAAAAACAAGCCGAAGAGATCTAGCTAACTGAAGGCAAACAACATAATTACTTAGTGCAAACAAGATGGTCAAAAGTCAAATCAACAAGCATTGCTGAAGCGCCTACTTGGTGCCACACTTCGCTGGGTACTGGGGATACAAAGAAAGGCAAAATCAGTCCCTTCCCTCAGGGAGCTTGCAACTGAATGTGGGAAGTTTTCGATAGTCCTCACCTAGGTGCCCTGGACACCCAGGATAAGAAATTGTCCTTAGTTCAGAGTATACAAAAGGGAGAAGAACGTAAGCTCCTTGAGGACAGGGCTGTCTTTCACTTTGTCTCCTCAGTGCTTAGTTCAGTGCTTACTGAAGTGGATGGAGAGAATGAAAAGCCAGCCGTGGATCGTTTTTAGAAACTCTTCTGAATACCTATACATACTAAGAAGAAGAAAAAAAGGGGAAGGGTGGGTTCGGCATCAAGCTTTCCGTGGGTGGCCGCTACAAACGCCCTCCCGCAGCCGCCGTGCGGTCAGTGCCCGCACCAGCACCGCCCCGAGAACCCGGGAAAGGCGTCCCCGGGATGCCCGACCCCCCTCCCGCCCCTCCCCCGGCGCGGGCCCCCGCCTCACCTTTTTCAGGGCCGTCACCAGGAGCCCCCTCCACTTGGGCGCGTTCTCCTCGCTGAAGAACTCGTACTGCAGCTGCAGCGCCTGCATGGTGCCCCGGGGGCTCCTCCGGGGGGCGGCGGCGGCTGAGTGGGGCGCCAGGGGGCGGGGAGGACGAGGACAAGGAAGAGGAGGAGGAGGAGGAGGCCGTGCTCTCACGCCCGGCCCCGGCGGGGGGCAAGGCGAGCGGGGGCCCGGCGCGGCCACTTACACAGGACCAGGGACCAAGCCGAGCCCGGACCAGGAGGCGGCAGCGGCGGCGGCGGCGGCGGCATCCCGCACCGCCTCCCCCGGGCCGGGGCCGGGGCCGGCGCTCTGTCCCCCACCCCCGCTGCCGCTGCCGCTGCGGGGCCTGCTTCGGCGCGGAGCCGCCCCCAGGGTCCCCTTTGGCGTCTGCCCGGGGCCCGGCCCGCCCGGCCCGCCCGGCCCGGCCTGGCCCTGCAGCGGAGCCCCGGGGAGGTGGGGCGTGCAGCTAGCGACGTCTCCGGCGCCCCTTCCCTCCGCTACGGCGGCGAGGCTGCCCGAGGGGTCCCGGGAAAGCAGGGCCCCCGGGAGACGTGGAGTGCAGAGCAGGAGAGGAAGGATGGGAAGAACCAGATCTTGTTGTTCTATAGGAGCCCGGCCGCCCTGAGGTGCCACCGCCGCCGCCGCCGCCGCCGGTGTAAAGCTCAAGCTTCCTACTTCAGAGTGGAACCTGCCTCGCGACTGAGCATGCTCAGCAGCAGGGACAGCAGCTCGCCGCCTCTAGCCCGGGAGGCTGCCACCTTCCCCTCCCCCGCCCCCAAACTCCTCCGGCTCCAGGTTTTCCCTTCAACCGCGAAGGGCCTGGGGGGGGGCGATTCTAGAAGTGGGGAGATTGGCTGCTCTCTGAGTTCAGCCCTGGCACGGGAGAGGAGGGGAAGGAGCGCGGGGGGGCGGGGGGAGTGGTGGCAAACGGCGAGAAGGAGGGGCGGCTGAGGGACACTGGCCGAGTTAGGAGAAAGGACTCTCCGAGTTGAGAGATAGGGTCACGTGAAAGAACCTGCCTCACCTTTGGAGGTCTGGGGCTCTTTTTGTTTCAGAAGCCCCGGATGGGGGTGAGGTGCAGATTTGGCAACAGCACAGGGAGGTGTCGGGTGAGTGCCTAGGTTAGGGTAGGCACTGTACAACCAACCTACAAAGAAGACGGGCCCCTAAAATCTCCCGGGAGGGATAGCGCATATATGCGTGTGTGACGCGCCCTTTCTTCCTCTCCCAGGATGCCGTCATGTACAGTCTCATTTGTCATTTTCGGACACAGGGCACACAGAAGGAGTCAGAAGGGACCTTAGAGGTCATCTATTCCAACCTGAACAGCATTTGCCCGTTCACTCCGAGATTACCTTCAATTTACACTGTGTGCAGCTTGCGTGTACATAGTCATTTGCATCTTGTCTCCTCCATTAAGACTGTGAGGTCCTTGAGAGCCGATCCCGCACGGTGTTGCCTTTCTTTGTATCTCCAGCTCTTCGCACAGCGCCTGGCACATTGTAGGAGCTTCATAAATGACTGTGGGTTGACAACTTAGAGACCCAGAAAAGGGTGATATGTTTATAATGGTTACACACTTCATTCAGAGACCCAAAATAACAACAAAACAAAAACCTAGAGAAAAGAGAGAGAAGCTAGTACATGGATCAAGCTTGTTCACTGGTGAATATGCTCCAGCAGGTGATACTTAGAGTAATGTAGCTCCTTGGTTTCAGAAACGAAAGTAGTGGAATCTGGAAAGAAACGAGACCCTTCAAGTAAGGGGGTAGGGGGACCCAAAAAAAATGTCAGTAAGCTGTCCATTGTTCTCTTTTATTTACATAGTCAAAAAACCTCAGTAACCATTAAAAGAAAATTCTCGGATGAGAGTACCACGTAAAATGGTATGGTCAAAATCTATAGATAGGTATTACAAAGTACTTTTAAAATACCTCATCTGATTCTCACAACAATCTAGGGATATAGGTTCTATTATTATCCCGTTTATAGATGAAGAAACCGAGATTAAAGTGTGTGTGTGTGTACACACACATCACTTTGTTTGCAAAGCGCTGAACACGTCTCATTTGGTCCTCACAACAACCCTAGGAGGTTTATCCCCATTTTACAGATGACGAAACTAAGTCATAGAGGTTACTTGCCCAAAGTCACACAGCTAATAAGGGAGCCCTAGCGATGCAGTCGGCAATCAAAATGTGTCAGCAAGTCCCTGTGATCTTCGTAGAGTTTCTTACAACGGGATACCCCTACTAATCTAATGCTGTTCCCCACCACCACCACCACCCCATTCTCCAAAGGTCTGCCTGCAGCGCCAGGGATGAATCCTGTCTGATGTGGCTTAGGGAGCAAATAAAGAGCCCGACCCTGAAAACTCTTGGACTGTGGGTACAAACGAGGAGCCCCTCCCAAGGTGAGGGAAAGTCGACCCACCACCCCGCAACACACACACAAACACCCCTCCCCCCTTTTTCCCCCCAGGCTGGAAGTACAGGTACTGCCCTGCTCCCTGGCCGTGGAGTAAAACGCGGATAACTGGATTTTAGACCGGACTGGGCATGCTCAGCAACCCAACGCGGGGGGGGGGGGGGGGGTTGTTCACGAGTAAGGATAAGTTCACGCTGGCCGGATCGCGGCCCGAGGATTGGAACGGGCAAAGGGCCAGGGCTGCTGATCAGACAGGGGTGGTCAAGTGGGGAGGGGGCTCCAACTGGGACCGTAGCCCGTCCATTCTCTGGAGACAAAAGAATATCCATCCTCATGCAAGGAGGAAGGGAAACGGCAAAGGAGGCCCCGGCGTGAGGCGGGAACCCGGGGCAGTGACTGGCAGCCCCAGGACCACCACTGCCCCAACCCAGACAGTTAGAATTGGGCGGCGCCTGCGCGGCTGCTTCCCCTTGCGCTTCTCTTTCCTTGACCAGACTAAGGGAGGCCTGCACCAAGGCGGAAGTGACGCTCAGAAGAGGCGCCCAGAACAGGTAGCCGAGCGCAGAGCTCCTCGACCGCCCTTCGGCGGTCCAAGGAGCGGAAGGAGGATTCTTCAGTCTCCTTCCGGCTTAGTCCCAGAGACACGCCCCCTGCAGGCGGGAGGGCCGTGCGTGCAGGCGCAGCCCCAGCGGCCACGTCCCTCTGCGCTCTCGTCCCTGCTCTCTTTACCGCGAGCATCCTCATTCCCCTGCTCCTTCAGTTGATCCATAATAATTGTATCTCTCGAGGTTCATCAACGTAGAAGGGAATCCAGAGACCTCTAGGGAACCTGACGTTTTAAAGGATTTTTTTTAAAATTGTATTTCAAAGTAGTTAATTTTTTTTTTTGTAATCCTATGCATTGTATTCATTTACAAACCTTATTCTGAGAAGGGGTCATAGGCTTCACTCAAAGGGGTCCACGACAGAAGAAAAGGTCAAGACCACCCCATTCCCTGCCAAGATTAAGAATTAGTTTCTAATCCAACTTCCCTTATTCTACAGATGAAGAAAAGGTGGACCAACAGGGAAGCTAAGTGACTTTCCCGAGGTCACGTAGGTAGTAAGTGTCATAGGTAGGATTCGAACTCAGTTCCTCTGACTCCAGTGCCTGCACACTTTCCACCGCTTCCAGTTTTGGAACAGATTTTGAGAGCCTGCTATCTACTTGCTCTCCAGATTTAGGATCATAAACAGAGCTGGCAAAGGTCTCTGAGATCACTTAAACCAAACCTGCTCATTTTATAGGTAAAGGAAACAGGAACCTGAGAGAGGGAGGGCACTTGCTCCAACTCAAAAGTTAGCTGCAGACACCAGAGGAGAACTCAGATTATCTGACTCCCTTTCCAGTGCTCTTTCCTTTACAATGATCGGTAAGACCAGGGGTCACCATCCCTATTTTCCTGCTAAGGTGGAGGTTCTGCCCAGAAATGGACTGAAGCTGAGGAGTAGGCTGGATATTCATTTGCAACAACAAACGAACAACAACAACGTTCTTCTCACTCTTACAACAGTACATCAGAACTAGGAGCAGGAGGGGCTTGAAATTTGATAAGTGCATAAGAGGGATATAAACCAAATTCCAGAAGAGTTCTGAGGGAAAAAAAAATTATGTTCTGTAGGTTCCTCATATGCCTCTTCCTGTTATAAAATTCCCACTGCCATGTGCTCCAAAACATGTCCCTCACCAAAGCCCCTGCCTTTCACAAAATTATGGAAAAAGGAAAATCAAACTAGAAAAGGTGGCTTCTGGCTCACCAAAAGAGGACATGTTCAAAACAAGCTTTGCATGGTTTTTCCATAATCCCCATAAGTCTGACACCTCTAGGTATTAGGTTTTTAGAAAGAGGTTCTGAAAAGTTACAAAGTTGTAATGGCTACAGCTGAACAGTACGGGGCAGAGTGGATTAGAAAAATGTCAGGGCCTTTGACCAATTAGTGGACCAACGATGTCATTTCCTTGGAATTCATTCTAAACCCATCTCCAAAACAATAATTTTTTTAAAAAGTATGTCAAGGTGAAAAAAGCAAGTGGGAATCACTAAATAAATGAAAAGGAGATGAAAAAAAGATGAGGGTTTTGTTTTTTGTTTTTGTTTCTCTGCTACAATAGCATAGATTACAATGGGAGAGACTAGAGTCAGAAACTGGGAGATTGTTGGAAGTAGTCCAGGCACAGGTCATGTGAAATATTAAACCTGATTCCTCCCCCTTCCTTCTTTCCCACTATCTACCATTTTATGATTCTTTAAGCTTCTTCATACCCAAGTATGTTAGGGGGTGGGGGGAGGATAGGAGATGGGGGATGGGAAACAGGTAGGATAAAGAGACACTGAGGGGCAGCTGGCAGCACAGTAGATAGAGCACCTGGTCTGGAGTCAGGAAGACCTGAGTGCCAAATCCAGACTCAGATACTTACTAGCTATGTGCCCCTGGGCAAGTCACTTAACCCTGTTTGCCTCAGTTTCCTCATCTATAAAATGATCTGGAGAAGGAAATGACAAACCAGTCCAATATCTTTGCCAAGAAAACCCCAAATGGGGTCACGGAGAGTCAGACATGATTGAACAACAACAAAAAGACAGTGTTACAGGCTTTAACTGAAATGGAGTTTTAGT